GGAGTCCAACAGCAGAGGTGCTGCTGTTTTGACTCAAGCCACACGCCAAAGAGCAACCCGAGCTGGCTTTTCTGAACCTACCCTTTAAGAGCTGCTCTTTATTTCCAACAAAGAAAAAAATTCATTTAAAAACATCTAATTAAACAGTAAGTCATGACAAGGTACATGAAACTTGGAGATAACACATGCCTGGGAGGCACTGGGGAGGTTGAGACAAAGCCCAGCGCCTTCGCCGGTACCCGCGTGTGTTATCTCACATGAACACACACCTGGGCTTATCCTGGTGCAATTATAGGACATTAAAAATATAATTTTAATGGAGGAATGGTGATCTGGATGCAGTTCAGAGTAAAAACTTTCTTTCAAGTTCCCCTGTTTGATTAGTAGGTGTTCCTGCCGCGCACCGTGTGCGCGCGAGGGGGAAGCGCCGGGACCGGGAGGTGGGACCGTGTTTTCAGGAACGCTGATCTATCTCCCGGTGTGTGTGAGGGCTTGTCAAAACTTTAAAGCATTCGTGAGCAGCGCTAAGGCAAGCAAAGCTACCAGTCAAGACCTGGCTTGTCCCAGGTGAGCCCCTTTTCCCACTCAGGCAAACTTCCACCAGAGATGAAGCTGCAGAGAGCAGGGAGCGCTCCTGGCTGAGCCCAGCACCCTGCAGCTGACTGGAGGCCAAGTGCCTCCACCCACAGCCCTGGACAGTCCTTTCCAAGCCCAGTCTTCGCAGCCCCAGGTGTTTTAGAGGATGACCTCATTTATTACCTTGCTTGTCACAGGAAATGATGTTTATCTAATCTACCGTTCTTTCAGGATTTTTTTCCCTGCCACATCTGGTTTCTTACATTTCTCACAGCTCAGTTCCTCCCTGCACCAAAACAAAGGAGAAATGGCACCGCTGCCACCACACCAGTGGCCTGGTCCCACCAGCAGCACATGGAGCCCTTGGGGAGACTTTGCATCAAAACCTGGAGCTCGCGTGCGGTGGCGAGCGGATCTAAAGATTTCAGTCTTAATCTCCTTCCTCTGCCGCATTCCTTAGTAGTGACAGCTACTTCTTGCAATATTCTTGACTGTGGGCTCTGAGGCACAGCTTTCCATCTGTCTGTCTGTCCAGCATCCAGCCAAACAGGTCCACATTCCTGAGCAGAAACGCTAGCACTGCCACTCGGAGCAGCTCGAAAGCCTCGGGTGGAAATCGGAACGATTTCCACAACCACGAGGGAGAGCGGCAGCGGCCGGATCCACAAACACAGGGGACAGGGGCAGGACCCACAAACACAGGGGACAGGGGCAGGACCCACAAACGCAGGGGACAGTGGCAGGACCCACAAACACAGGGGACAGTGGCAGGATCCACAAACACAGGGGACAAGGGTAGGACCCACAAACACGGGGCACAGTGGCAGGACCAGATCCCGAGGCCCCCCCGCGAACCCTGGGGATGTGTGCCGTGCGTGCCCGGGTGCCAGCGCGAGCCCACGCTGGTTACACCCTGCTCTGTGTCTGCTCCAGGTTGTAAAATGCCACAGCCAAAACTCGTGCCCGTGAGCGGGTGCAGAGGCCCCTGTGGCTCACCCTGCTCCTGCTGCCACAGGGCCTTGGTTCGCTCTGACCCACCGCTGGCAGCACCCCGGGTTGCTCCCGCGCCCCGGCGCGTCTCCGGGTGCCAGGGAAAGAGATTCATATTTTCCTTTGTAATAAAAAGGCTCTCTCAGAAGCTTTCTGCTGATCCTGAAAGGATGTGAAAGCAATAAAACCCCTCCTTATTTTACGACCGAGCTGCAGGATTTTTTGCTACTGAGTGCGGGGGCCTAATGTTTGATTTCATAACCAGAAAGTCCCTCTCTCCTCGCCCAACCGAGGGAAGGACCTGCACCAGGAGCTCGGGGCTCATTGGGCCTCCAATTTTATGTCTGGGGGGTCTCACAGCTGGACCTCAGTAGCTGACCTGGGCTACTAAACACTGAGGAAGCAGGTGAATGGAGCAGAAAATGCCTGAGCTGCTGTAGCCTAAAGCAGCCAGAGCCCTGGACTAAACTTTTTCAGAGTTAATTTTAATGTTTTCAAGTCAAATACCTCCCTGGTCTTATAAAAATTCTTGGGAGGAAAAAATAAATTAATACTAACGGTAACAATAAAACCACACAAACAAAACAACAACAACAGCAACAACAAAAGGACACAAATATTTCTGAAATACTTTTGGAAAAGAGGAAGAACAAACAAACATAGATACAAGATATTCATAAAGGTTCCGCTGCCCTATACAAGATTTTATCCGTTTAATTCCCAAACTAAATCTATCCCCTATCTGTCACGACAGCACGGGCAGAACTCATCCTCTGTTTTTCTGTCCAAGCTCTCCCTGCTCCAAGCGAATTCCCGGCTCTGCCTCCCTCGCACATCTCACCCCACAACCGACACGGACACCGCGCATCACCCGTCACCCCAAGGGACGTCCACGGGGATAACGAATGGGACACAGTCCCGAGGGCAACGGTGGAAATGGAGCTTCGAGCTCCTGTTTCCAGCCGGGATCTGCCTCCCCGGGCTGTCCCCGCTGCCGGGACCCGGTTCCCCGCTCTGCGCTACGGGCGCTGCTCAATCCCTGCCGGGGCTGCGGGGCGGGGACCCCGAGGGGAGTCCTCGAGCCCGTGTTGGGGCGAAAACCCCCTTGTCCTGCTTCCTAAAGTCCCGGTTACCTGCAGCCAGGAGCGCTGCGGGCTCGGGTGAACACCCGGGCGGGGGTGGTGGGAATCAGCACACCGCGACTCTGAGATCCCCAGAAAATCCCTGGAACGATATTAACGGCTGGAACCGTGGAAGTTTATTTAAGAAGGAAAAGGAGGGGAAGGAGACGCGCAGCCAGGGATGCTCCCGCAACGAGCTCCGAGGCTCCGGGCAGCCCCTTCCCCGGCCCGGGCAGCGCCGGGCCCGTCGGTGTGGGGGGACACCGGGAGGGACCCTCGGTGAGGGGACGGTCCTGGAGCCCCGGGATACGGGAGGGGACCGGCTGCGGGGGCCGCGCGGAGCTGCGGCCGCTTCCCTCCCTTTCCGGGCCGATCCCGACCAAACTCGCCTCCAAGGACGGGAGTTAAAGGGGGATTTGGGGTAAGTGATTAATATATTGTTGAACTAGGACAACGGTATCTCGGCAACTAATTATGGAGAAATGTATCTGTTTTCACACGCACAGATTTCTATCAGGTTTCTATCCGACGGCCATTCCGCCAGGAATTCCAGGATTAATCGGTATTTGAGATCTCGGCGCGATTTAGGACAAAACGACACTTTTTAGGGTTTAACCTCACTCCCTGCAGAGAGGGGGTCCCCGAATCTCGCTGCCCACCTACCCTCCTTGCACCGCCCGGGACCCACCGGGAGCTGCCTCCGATAGTTTTAATTTAATTATATTTTTTCCTGGGGTGTCCTTCACCCGCGGGGGCCCGGGCTCGGCTCTGGCCCCATTGGGGCTCCAGGACACATCTCCAAGCTGGCAGAGCCAGAGGAGTAAGAACGACCATGCATTATATATTTTTAAAAATTAAATAAACCTAATATAAAGGAATTTGTTCCCCAGGCTGCGCAGATAGGAGAGGCGTTTGATCTGGAATTCCCGGTTTCAGCTTCTATAACTCCTCAGCTTTCTTTTGAGCCGAACTCGCCTGTTTTGGGGTTTCCAGGCTTAGGAAAGAAGGAGCGTGGCCACCGAAATAGGGAGAACGAGAACTGAAGCCCCGGAGCGGTGCCGGGACAGAGTGCACGGTGCAGCGGCTGCTCCAAGGAACCCCCGGTGCCTTCGTCCCGTCCCTCCAGGGGTAATCGCCAGCGTCCCCCTGCAAACACCCGTTGGGCTTTGGATTTATCGATTTCTCCAGCAAACTCGGGGCTTCGCGCTCCAAAGAGAGCAATAATAATAGAAAAAAAAAATTTAAAAAAAACCCAAACAAAACAACACTAAAAATCATTTTAAAAGGGGAAAAAAAACAAGGATGGGGAAAATATATATTGAAGGAAAAAAAAGGAAGAAAGAAAAAATCAAAACGAGAACCGGGGTGAGAAGAGCAACTTGTCTGCAGACACAGTGGGTGCAGGCAACTTGCTCCCACCGTGCCCACCTTCACCCAGGGATATTTAAATTTCATTTTTCCTTTTTTTTTTTTTTTTTTTTCTTTTCTTCTTTCCAAGACTCGAGGACTGGAGAATCCCTAGGCAGAAACCTGGCACTAAACAACAACAAATCCCCTCGACAGGAGACGAAAAATTTTAACTAATGGCGCGTTTGGAAAAAGGAGGGGAAAACCCCAACAAACCACTGTAACTCCAACCGAACTTCCAGACAAACATTGCCACTGCGGGGTGTTTCCCGAGGGCTACCGGGTGCTGCTGCCCGGCCCAAAGCCGAGGAGACACGGCCGGTCCCTGCCCACGCACCCCGCAGCTTGTCGCGAGCATCCCTCACTCCCGGGTGTTTGATGAAACGCCTCTCCTGCGTTCTGATTAAAGCTCAATTAATGCGGGTCATTAATGCCCCGCTGGCAGGCGCGTGTTCCTAGAACAGCCATTTCCAAGGAAAAGGGGCAGCGGCGAAGCGGCGGCCGGGGATGGTGGGACCGGGAGCTGCCGCCGAGCCCCGCTGGGGCATCCCCGGGGCTTCCCATGCAAACCATCAGCGGCCGCCGGCGGGGAGGGCCCCGGGGCTCCGCCACAACCCGATTCGCCCGTCCGGGTCCCTCGGTGCCCGGTACAGAGAAGGAGCGGCGGCCGCGGTGCCGCTCCGGGGAGAGCCGAGGGCCGGGGGCGGGTGGGTGCGCTGGCCCGCCGGGACCCGCTGCTTTCGTTTCGTTCTCGCCAGGAACAGCAACGAGTCCTTCCCGACGGGCGGGGGTCGGCCCCGCGGGACGGCGGTCGCGGGGGGAACCCGACGCGAGGGAGCCCCGAGGGCAGCAACGGGCACGGAGCCCGGCCCGGTACCATATCCCGCGGAGCCGCCGCGCTCTTACCTTTCTTGATCACGGACTGATCGAGAAGGTTCATCCCGCCGTCGTCCACGGCCTGAAAGCACCGAGGAAAGAGCCGTCAGCCGGCGGCTCCCGGGGAGGGCGGGCACCGGGACAGTGCGGCCCCGGCCCGGTGCTCTCGCTGCCCCCGGCCAGGAGGAATCGTTCTGGCAAGAAGGATCCCCGGTAACGGGGATCCCAGCGAGGCGGCCCTGCTTGCCCGGGGGGTACGGACACCGCGGGGCTCGACCTGTCCCGGCCGGGACCCCCCGGGCGCACAGGCGGCGGGATCGGCCGTGTCCCCCTCACCCCCCGGGCACCCTCCAGGCGCTCCCGCAGCCCCCCCGTACCTGGATATCCTCGATGCCGTGGTGACCGAGGCCGTGGATGCCCAGCGGGCCGTCGGCGAGGCCGTGGCTGCCGTCGGGCAGCCCGTGGAGCAGGCGGGGCACAGCGGGGTACTCGCGGCGGGGGTCGAGCCCCAGGGCTCGGTGAGTCTGCGAGAGCAGCCCCGGCTCGTCCTGCCGGCCGCGCTGGGGGGGCCAGGCCGGCTGCTGGTGCTGGTGCAGCGGGCTGAGCGCCGCGTACGGGTCCGCCAGGTGCGGGTAGCCGGGCTCCTGGCCCTGCGGGTAGGGCAGCGGCGGCTGCGGGTACGGCGGGGGGAAGTAGGGCGGCTGGAAGTCGGCGGCGGGCGTGTGGCAGAGCGGCGGTGCCGAGCCGTAGGGCGCCTGGTTGAGCGAGGGCAGCTGTGGCAGGCGGGCCCCGGCCGGCGCCCCGGGCAGCCCCTCGGTGCGGTCCTGCGGCGGCGGAGACAGCGGTGGCGAGGTGAGGTGAGGTAGGCACGGACCCCCGACCCCCCGTCCCGTCCCACCCGCGCCCGTCCCGCACTCACCATGCCCGGGTAGCTGTGCACAAGCATCGGTGCGGGCCCGCGGCGAGCCCCGGGCGGGCCGGGCCCCGGGGGTGCCCCCGTCTCCGCCCCTCTATCCCGCCGAAGCGACGTCTCCCATCGCCCGCCCGCTCCTCTGCGCCGGCCCCGACTCCATGCACGCCAGTTATAGCGGCGGGGGCGCGCCCGCCGCCCCGGGAGCGCGCGTCAGAGCGCGGGGACGGGGACGCGCCGCCCGCTCCCGCGGGGCCCCGACGGCTCCCGACAGCGGGACGGCGGCGGGACGCGGCCGGGGCGGGGGGCGAGGGGTGCCCGCCGCCCCCTGGGAGCGCGGCCAGTGGTGCCCCCGCACCGTCGGGCGGCCCCGCTCCCCGCGGTACCGCACACCCTCCCCGGGTGCCACCCCCGGGCCCCCCGCCCAAGGCCGCGCACACTGAGAGCCCTGTCC